ACCTCAAGCATATACGTTTTATATTTCTACCCTTGCCTCAAGTGATTGAGCTGCTGTTCAGCAACAGTGATCAGATTCCGAAGTGACGATATCCAACAGTAGGATCAGCTCATTCTACGGATAACAAACAGATCCGATAGCGAAGAGCTCATCGGTTGTATTCCCACACAAAATATCCTCTGACGATACGTGTGCACTGTCACTCCTCTGCCTAGATATCAAGTGCCTGGGAACTATGAAGCTTTCAAAGCATTTTAGCATAAATTTTGAATGATAAAGCAGATATAATGTGGGCTGAGTATGCAAAAGCATAACAAATGACTTCATAGAAGATGCTTGACACTTCGTCCAGATAAAAGAAAACCGCTCAGTGGCAAAGATCCCGAACGGAGAGAATGAGGTGGAACATAACTGCAGAAAGATTGCGAACACTGTCATTAATCACATAGAGAAGATTGTTGCACGTCAACAGGACAGAATCTGACAAAGTTGACACCTGAATGCAACCAAACACAGTTGAAGGCACCAAAGACCAACTGTGAAATCAATTAGAGTAATGGGGCTTACAATTGAGATTAGGCACATCCTTCTCATAAGCGAGAAAAACTCCTCTCCCACACAGATGGAGTGCGAGGTGACGTGTGTGGGATCGGTACCACTTCTCCATTTATTTCCAGTACTAGTCGTCAAGCCCCATGAGCAGAAGGGTGTTGAGGTTCAGAATGAAAAGCGATCTTGCTTAGATCTCAAAGTTCGAGTGACATGTTAGGCCTGTGGAGCGATGGACTTTTGAAAGAATTTCTGACTTGAAATACGTCTAGACATGGGTTCACCATTCTATTTTGGCCCTGGTTAGACCCTAAGTCATTCAAGTCGGGTTTCTGCAAGGATTCTCCAAACTCCAGGTTGAAAAAGCATCACAGGATTGCCGATGAGTTTACTCCATATAAACTACCGGCTTCGTTCAAAACTTGAAGCTAGGACTATCGATGATCCGAGTGCGAAAAGGCTCCCTCCGGCAGTGCACATGAACTTCATCAAGCCCATATGATTTGCTTCGGACTCGAACAAAATGATTTCTGAAACAATGAGTTCATGATTTTCAGTTATATATGTCGATGCTCTTGTTTCAAGTTTTCATCTCACGGGCTTTCATTCGTATACCTGGAAAATGTCAAGGCTGCCAGCCAGTTTGAATGCTAGAAGTCTACCAACCTACGTTTCTCAGCTCACAACATTTTTCATGTGCTGCGAGTTCTAGAGAGGCGAATGATAGTGTTCGGGTCTGTGTCGAGTCATGACGGAAGCATTTTCATCTTCTTTTGTGCCTCGCACTGAGGACGACAACTGGATTATCTTGGACCCTTGCAGTGCATTGCGATGGTACGATGATGCCCGAACCTCAACTGCCATTCTTAAGCTCTAATTTTGTTTGATGCCCAATTACTGTCATCTCAATGCAGACAGAGTGACCTCTGACTCGTGCACGAGGAGACCGGGAAAAGGACCCATACATATTGGTCATGAGTATCACGAGTAAATGATTATGTCTTGAGGACTTGATTTGAAACTATGAGGCATCGACACGTCGGCTCCAGGTTCAGAAGACATGTGTGTCTTCACCTAATTAACTGGATTAACACACACAATTACAAGTAGATGGCTTATGTTCTGAGGACTTTCACTGACAATCTGAGGCATTGTCAGGTGGACTCCAGGTTCAGAAGCTTACTATTTCACTGCTACTCCTGCGGCCTTCAAGATCAGCCATTCCATTTAGAAGTACGCTGGTGTCGTGGTAGTCAGGAAGAAGAAGAAGTTGCATGATTGCACCACTTGCTCTCCTCTCCGATCATTTAGATATGATGGTTGTTTCACAAGAACAGAGATCTGGATGTATCCTTCGTCTTCTGGTTTGTACAGTTATGACTGTCCGCTATCAGTCAATCAACGAAAACGCACACAATGGCCAATTTTCTGGCTTGTTCCATCATGACCTTGTCAGCGTTCATCGAGGAGCTTGCGATATGTTAATGAGAGCTGTCTCTCTGTCTGTAATACCGACAGCGATACCTCCCATCGACCCAAAGGAGAAATGCTTCTTCATGCTTCTCAAAAAGAACTTCGGAAGCTTCGATCCAGACGTATATCTTCTCTTTTGTAAACCTTGACCAGTCAGCAATAGATTTCTCGTCGCACGGATAAATCGATCAAACAAAGACCATCGTGAATATTGATGGACTCCGAACAAACTCCATCTCTGGCAACTCCACTCGAATATATGATAGCCTAATGATTAGCTGGGCTAAATGTCGCTCACCTGTTCCTTCTCCAACTCCGGAAGCTGCGCTCCACTCCACTGCTCGTTGTACTAAGGACAGACCTGTCTAGATCCGAGAAGTGAACGAGTAAGGTGGAGGAAACCCCGCGGGGTTCTTGGGACCCAGCCATCCCAAAAGCAAGGCCCGAGCCAAAACTGTACTTCCATCTCGCATACGGATGCCCAAGGCCTCAACATCTCTCCTCTGACCTCCAAAAAGGTTGTGATCTCCATCGCAGACATCGTGGAGTTTAAATTACAAGCAGGACAATGTTCACCCACGCAATGTGAACGGCGCGATTGTTGCAGAGTGAATCATCCATCCATGCATCCTATGCTCCTATCCAAGCCACTCTTGAGGTGTACTTACGACTCGTACAAGAAGGTTTAGTAGTCGGCACCGCACTGGTTCGCAACGCAGGCAAAGTGAGCGCTTCCGGTCGACATAGCCACTGGTGGAGGATGAGATGGACCCGACTGAAGCATGATCACATTGGAGTTTGTAACAATTATTGTCGAATGCAGGGAGTGATGTTGGTTGAAGAAGGATATCATGGATTTGTTTTTTCTTGTCAGTGTTTACTCCGTAAAGTTGTTTCTGCAATGGCTTCAGGTTTTAAACCACCCTCGGGATGAAGACTTCCACATCTTCCTTTCTCATGAGGCTTCAAGACTTGCGCAAGACATGCCCTCTAAGTTTCTCCTCTACTCAAAGCGCTTTGAGAAATCTATTTATGCAAGTTACGTTTTGGTCGTTACATTATAACTCAAACTCTTCCGGAATTCAATGAGCAGTGGCGAGATCTAAAAGACGTGTCCCAATAATAGCTGCAATATAAACCGACTTTAGTGGTGAGAAAGTAAACAACCGAAACCACTAAATTTCAGCGCGATCGGCTGAAGATAGATTCTCGTGAGGTAATTCAGAGGAGGTGCGGGTTCCTTCTGGAGAGGCACACGGAGAGGAAGATTAAAGTGGAGTTGCGCAGTGTATGTGTAATGACCACAAGACATTGCTGCCAGGTTTGCCTCAGGATGATTTTAATTTCTCTAGCCCAACCTAAGACTCACCACGCCGCTGCAGATTCTGGACTGGCGACAAACCTAAGAATGCGGAATTTGTGATGTACCAGGTGCATACATTCCCACATCTCCTCCTCAACGAACTCAGGTTTCCAAATTTTCTTAGGTGCATACGTTGAGGAATACACAATGTCTTGCCTGATTTAGTCTATCGATGTCGGATTTCAAGGAATTCTTGATTTCCTAGCGAGTAGAATATTCAGAAATTACAGAGCCAGGTGGTCGCCGAATCCTGGCTATCACAAAATATTCACTACGTTTAGCAGCAGCACTTCTTCGCAGTGCATAACTATAACATATCGATCTTGTTTACTTTACGACCATCGTAAAAGTCTGTCGTTTCTCGGATTTTCGATTCATGTTTTGGATGAGGAAACAACAAAGAGAAAGAGGTCTAGGACCATGACTTGCACTCGGTCGAAGTTTTGAACTTGCCTTTGTAAGATTTGTCCACAGGTGCGCATGTAAACATCTAAATCATGATTGGAGATTATTGATCTGCCGGTATTTAAAATCACATTTTGAGCTGACGATTTTAAAACTGAATGAGAATTGAAGCGTTTGACAGAAACATTTTCTTCTACCTTTTTCTTTCCGAGCATCTGACTGTTTGACTTGATTGCCTGTCTTGAGATCTAGTTATTGACTGGTACACCTACCTTCCTTTTCTCATCATGCAATTAATAGTACACTCGGTACGATGTTATTCCCCGCCTGTACAGTTCGTCACACAAGCGTACTACGGCATTCAATCTTCCATAAAGTTGGATTCTTGTACTCAGCTTACTGAAAACAGTACGATACTTCTACTAGAGAAGAACATGAATTATGACTATTTATAAATTAGTTTTCAAATAGGACTGAGATCCTTAAAGTGCAGGATTGTCATGTTGAACATGATGATGCGTGCTCGTTAATATTTCAAGCTAATCTGTCTTACAAACAATCAGAATTGTCAATCATCATGAATATAGCCAACGAGAGAAGATTCTTTCAATGTCCGTCCTGTTCCTTCCGTTGTGCCGAATCTGCACTTCATTCGTACGTCATCTCACAAGCACAAAGAGGGTTAAGGCAATGCATATCACTTTCTATAACATTCATCTCAGGTGAACATTCTCAGATAAGAGCGCAGATTTGCAGCCTCGAAGGCAGGAACTGAACTGGAAGAATTCATTCGAAGGGTAACTCAGTGATATCGTCCTCTATCATCGAAGTAAATAGTACGTCAGGATCGCTGATAAGAAAGTGTAAACATCTTATCAGGCAAACCCAATAATAATGTGAAGAATAAAAATCCATGCTTGTCCAGAATATCCTCCCCAGGGTTTGGATTGGGTCGCACTATGTACTTCACCTTCTGTCCCACAAGACATTGTCAATCCTGGCTTGCTCTTTCCCCTGTTGATATGTTCCAGAGAAAAAAGCACTTTCCACTTTTCTCGCTGCAGTAGCTTATCCTGTTCAGACGGACAACCGTTTTGGAACAAAAGACGATTCGCACAATCGACAACAGGGGTCAGCAGAAGAGATAGCCAATCATTGGCAGATAATACAGAGCAAGAGCAACAATCGAGACAAGAGGCAGACCTTCCGGTTTGGGGTGCATCAGACGTTTTATTAACAACTAGGATAGTTTTTTGTCACACGCCCCGCGTGCACAGGGATAGGCCAATGTGGATCTCTATCACCTGAATCATCATCCTAAATTCCCGAAAGAAATCACTGGCCTATCTGATGAAACTCTCTACAAAATTGTTGATGAAGACGACGAGCAAGCTCGACGAGACGTGTCGTCCGCATGCTCCCTCTCCGCCTCTCGCCCTCGCTCTCTTTCCGCCGAATGTTGCCTCCATCCTCAAGACCTCGAGGTACAATTTCGGGCCGACAAAGCCGAACCCAAGCTCGTAAGATGCATCACTGCCTTCCATCCTCTCAGTTTTCGGCGAATCTGTCTGTCTCCTCACAGGCTTTGTCACGTTGAATATCGAAAGAGAGAGTGAGAGAGAGAGCGCGCGAGTGGGGACAAGCTGGCGACTCGCCTCAGAAGCTGCTGCCGTTCCATCGATCAGTCGGGAGACCGTCGCTCCTACTGTAAAAAATAGCGTGCTGCACCGAGCGGATCTGATCCGGCTGGGAGAATCATGGTGCGATGGCCTGACCCACGTAGGGGTGCGCAAAGCTAACGACTAGTAATCAACAGGCTACTCTACCTACACTACGGCCTGATGCACTTTGGACGTCCTAAAAAGCTGGCAAACGAAAAAAGAATGATTGAATAAGTGTCGACTGCACAGCGGCATCTACCCGTGGAGCTGCGTCAATGTGACCAAAATCGCTCGGATGCTGCTGGCCCTGGCTGGCACAAGTCCTACATCATCTCCTGTACAAGAAACTCGGAAGAGCGCTTATTTACAAAAAGTCCGCGATTACATTCAGTAGTCGTCGTCTCCCCAGAATCGGGACTTCTTATGCAACTTCCGCACAACCTGTAGGACATCTGCCGGGGCAGCAGTTCCGGTGACAGTGATCATTTCTTTGCGCACGTCGCAGTACACAGATCGGACACCCTTGAGCTCGAATAGGGCGTTCTTCGCCTCCTCCGAGCACGATTCGCAGCAGATCGGAACTTTCAACACCACGGTCTGCACCACATCCAACCATCACCTCACCGAGGTCAGATTCCAGTCCAATCTCAATCCAGCATAATATCCACTCATCCACTCATCCTCCCGATCCTCCATCACAGTCAGCAATCAATCATTCACTCTGCATCCAATTACACTCTTCGTCTACACGTCTACACATTAAACATATACACATCTTCACATCAGCCACATCTAAACCGCCGCGAGGCCGACTCAATCGAATTCTGCTCGATTCAGATCGACACCAATTCGATGGCGATTCCTAATCAATCAAGGGAGCACGGCGGGCAGTCGATTGAAGGAGAGAGCTGGGGGGCATGGGAGGGGGAGGTACCGAGGGCTTCCGATATTCGTAGTATTCGTTGGGCCTGGAGTCGTAGAAAGTAGCGTCGTATTCGTACGGGGTGTGGGTAGGGGCGTATGCGGGCGCCGCCGCCGGATAGTAGGCACCCGGAGTGGTGTAAGAATCACTGTAAGCATCGGTGTCGTAGTACCTGCCGGGCGACGACCGTCTGTAGTAGTCGTTTGAGTACCTGTCGCCTACGGCGTAAGCACCGTAGTCCGTGCGTCGCGTTTCACCGCCGTAGTAGTCCGAGTATCGGCTGCGGGAGTTACCTCGGTAGTAGCCTGCCGACTCTGGGTGACCACGGTAATACTTGTCGGCCGGTTCCACGTAGCTCGATACGCGGCCCCGGCGGACGGGGTATGCGGCGGTGTCAACAACGAACACGGGCTCCTGATCTCCATAGAAGAGCTGCACAGCAATCATCAGTCCGCAGCCTTTGGTTAGATTTCGCTCCAGCTCGACGAGCAAAATCGCGGTACGAAGAAATGGAGCGGGATCGACTGGGTACGGATCGGTCTTCGGTCCTCGGACAGATGCAGTCTCGACAGCACACGACGCTTCAACTTACGCTGGGATTCGCTCCGCTTTTACACGCACGAGAATAGAGCAGAGTACAGCAGACAGTAGAAGAGAGAGAAGAGGTGAAGGCAAAAGAATTTGGAATAGCCAAGCAGGACAGATGACCAAATTCACGAAACAGAACTGGACGACTTCAGCTGGGGAAACGGATACAACATCGTCGGATGCTATCTGAATTCCTCATCTTCCGCAATGCGAGAGCTCTGAATCGGTCGGAATTCGCTGAATTCGTGCTAAGTGGCCGACCTGGATTACGCAGGGGCAGACTCCTGAAGCTGGCGAGTGGCCTACCTACTCTGAGACTCTGAGCTACAGACAACTCTGGGACTGTACAACCTATGAGCAATCAGGTCGGTCTGCCAGAATTGTAGGACATCAAAGAGTGAACTCGTCGACTCTGGTCTGCGGAATGGAGTAGATGCTAGCTAGATGTCCGGAGTCAGACTGTCACTTACTTCGTTTGCGGACATCATTTTCGCTGTAGATATGTAGAACTCCGGAGAATCGAGTTTAGGTGAGAAAGGTGGCAATCAAGACGCTTGAGGTCGAGGAGATCGTCGTCGCGTGAGATGTAAGGGATGAACTCGGTACGATTCGGTCTTCGGTCCTCGAACGGATGCAGTCTCGACAGCACACAACGCTTCAGATTACGCTGGGATTCGCTTCGCTTTTACACGCACGAGAGTAGTAGAGAGTAGAGCAGATAGTAGTAGAGAGACAAGAGGTGGAAACAAAAGAATTTGGAATCGCCAAGCAGGAGAGATGACCAAATTCACGAAACAGGACTGGACGACTTGAGCTGGGGAAACGGATGAACGGATGATGATCGGTAACTCTAGGACGCTGCGATGATTGCTGTTGTGGGCTCCGAATCACTTGCAGATGAGTATCTCAGAATGCTTCGACAGATCGTTTGAATGCACAGGCAGGCAGTGAGAGTTGGTAGACAGACAGAGGGCGCGAGAGAGATGGCGAGAGAGGTGGATCGATGGCAGGAGTGAAGAGTTGTGAGTTGCTTGGGATGCCTGAGACTTGGCCGGGATGGGCTTTATGCACCCGAAGAGAAAGGAGCCCTTCGCGCGGCCGACCGACACGTGTTCCGACCCGACGAACATATCTGCCGTGTCATCGAAGCAAGTTCCTACGTGGCAGAGGGGGGAGTCCTACGTTCCCTCCCTCGACCACATCGACAGATCCGACGCTCCGAAACCGACCTTTCCAGCTCCGAGCTGCCACCCGCGCGTCTGGACCGTTGAAGCCCCTTCGCCCATGCTGACGTGTCGCTCACCCGAGCGGACCGGCCCGACTCGCAATCCCGTTCCTCCCACCACCAACCCGAGCGTTAGAACCGGCTCCCTTCCATGCCCTCCACGCCCCACCGGTTCCGCTCTGCGGCATCCGGTCAGGCCCTACGGGGGATGGCAGAGTGTCCTCTGGTCGTACGCCATGCTGTGCGCGCCCTCCCAGAGGGCCCCGAGGCTGATGAAATGCTGAAGGGAATGGGGACCATAGGTCGGTGCCTTTTGTCTATCAGTCGACCCCAACTCTGACAACATACATCTCGCCTGTGGAATAAAATCTGTGCTCGCCACTCCGGCCGAAATCAATTACCCCCCCCCCCCCCCCCCCCCCCCCCCTCCTCATTTTGCTTTATTTTTGTTTTTATTTCGCTTTGCTAGTTATGGTTCACAACCGGCCAAGCCGACCTCACCCTCTCCACAGTCCCAAGTCTTTTCTCCTCCTCCTCCTCCACCTTGCATTTTGCTCTTGCCACTTGAATCCTCTATGAAACGTTGAGTGAATGGAAGGAAAAGTTCTCTTCAGATGTGTGTGCCTTTGGTTCGCTTTGAAGTGCCTAGATCTATTACATAAACATGGCTGTCGATTGTGCTCACCAATTGCGCTGCTTTCATAATATCCTTCGTTGAGATATACTATGCAGTATGACATATTTCAGATTGTGATGATGTTGAGACTAGCCACATCCTCCCTCTCGGTTTTATCCTTTCTGTTTTATTACCGGGTCTCTTCTTTGTATGCCTTGATCGGGATCTTCTTAATGTTTTCCATTTTATTATGAACATGTCCGCTCTGAATTGCGCTGGGTTTTCGCCGTGTCCTAATATGCTTTCTCGTCACTATTTGGGGTCAGAATTGTAATTCTGCTTTTCGTAGACGTTCCCGTTGAGGTTTCCAGGCTCTCGCTCATTGACCGATTGGAATGCCCTCCTTGACTTTACTGACCTCCGTGGTCGCACTGCCACCGCAAGTCTTGCTCATGCACACATTGTGCATCCCGTGAAGAGACGGAGTGAGTGAAGAATTTATGCGCTGCAACTTCATTCCCTGCCACTCTTCCCACTTTTCTGTGGACCCGGAGACCCTCATCGTCTATACAGTCCACGAGCTCGAGCTGTTGCTTACTGTGCGCAAGGCTGGAAGGGACATTAAGAAGAATTTTTTAAATGCCGATGATCGGAATCGGCAACAGCGCCTTAAGATTGACGCTCACACCTTGTGGTGGCGAAGCAAGCCAGTCCCTCGAGCCCCTCGGCAGAATGAGCCAGACAAAAATCTGCATTGTTTTCCGCCTTCCATCGCAGTTTGTGCGTGTGCAACGGCCTGTAAAGGCCCGTGACAACCGTTCGTTAGGAGTGTCCGTTTTCGCAGACGGGTATTTATAATAATGAGAACAAACCACTTTCCTTCCATGTCTAAGTCAGACGTCGAGGACGCTGGTACCCTCTGGAGTGAAGCTACGGAAACCCACCCTCGACTAACGAGCATTCTCATTCCAGATATTCAGTCCTCGCATTTTCTCCCTTTTTGCGCGATTACTTGGAACCCTATCCCAGATCATTAGTACGAGCATAAAGACTTTGGGCATGTAATTGACTTCAGCAATACATCAGCACTTAGACTTTTCTTTCCTCACATATTTTAAGTGCATTGCTGGGAAAGTTTCACGGATTAGAAAGTTGTCGTATTTCCTAGACGACAGCTCGTTTCACACAGGAACATGCAGGTAAGGCACCGGGAGGAGGAAAGGACGGGAGATCGGCTACCTTTCTCCCATCCCACACTTGTTACCAGGTCTGCGTGAATCCACCGAACGAACTCCGGCCCAGACAAATATCGCCAGCCAAACGAAGGCTGTTTTAGCCCTCACAAAGCTTCGACCGTGTGTAAAGCTTTGGACTGGTAATCGGTCTAGCTCAATCAACTTGGTAAACGGTGGGTCCTCAGTGAGCGGGCGTCCTGAGGTTTTGGAATGCAGACAGCTCCGATCCAACATGTTCGAGGACGAGGAGGACGAGGAGGGCTCGTGAGAAACTAGTGGCCCCAAGTACAGTGGGCTCGGGAGATTCTTCCGTCACGGTGATGGCTTTGTATTTGAAACCTCCTTTTGATAAAGCATGCCACTCGCTCTGTGCTCGCACAAGAGACGGGGTCCCATGCCCCTGTCGATTTTCGACTTGAGGCCCAGATTAACTCCCTCCCTCCTGCACAAGATACACACACCAAATGGATGCATAGAGTGGGCCATGGGCCTTCGCCGTCGCAATATTACGGTTTCTATCTTATGAGCGAGTGGATGGATGTCTGGTCAAACCTTCCATATCGTGTTATGTTTATGTTAAGAATGCTTATCCGAAGGAATTGTGTCGACTGACCGACGATAGTGCAGATTTTACAGCGCGCTGGTAGTCCATATTCTGTCCAAACCATACCCAAAAGATCTGGAATAGAACCTACTGAGCTGGGGGCAGGGCTAAGGTACTGAGGCGGCTCGGGTTGGGTTGGATACCTCAAGTTACGGCCCGGGGCGGGGCTCGATTGATCTGTGTACTGTCCATCAGCTGCCTATCCGACACATCCCTGCTGCCAATCGAGCACAACAATCAGACGATTATCTGAGTTTTAGATAAGAAACAGCCGACCAATCAGCCATAATATTTGTCTTTCACCATGTTTCCGCAGTACAGAATGCCTAACCACCAACAAGGAAGTTAGTCCATCTCTCTTAATTCCGTTCCCCGAGAAAGCCTCAGTGAGTCCATCCCTCTGTTTCCATCAACTGACCAACGATCGAGAACCAATATGATTGCCGAATTATGACTCTCACTGCCTCGGCGACTCGGTCAGCTGGCTCATCATCATACTCTCGACTCTAGTACCACCTAAACACCACCCTCCTGCAGTTCAGTTCGGACTTGTTTCGATCCATCGCTCCGTTCAGATTTGACGTTCGAGTTCGTCCTCCGCTACCGCTGAGCACAGCTTATGAAAAATGCGGGAAGGGAAGGAATGGGCCGGCCAGGGGCCAGGGCAGGCTACTGTACTCTAGCCACACTCCACTGGACAGACTGACCCACACACACATACACTCACTGACAAACCGACAGGGATCCATCGATCCATCGCCATAACTCCTCTCAGTGCTGGAGGCTATTGGCAGGATTCCACTAGCCAGTACCGAAACTGGGGCTGGCCTTCCATAGCCACCACCACTCGATCGCTCGCACTCCTTTAACGAGTACGCTCTCGGCCGACCAAAACTTTCCTCTTCCATGCTCCGGGCCCACACAACCTCATCCAGCCGGGCAGGGCGGGGGCGGAGGGAGGAAGAGGGGTGGGGGGCAGGGGGGCGGCGGCGGCGCCAGAGGAACGGAGGGCCCGGGGTCGCTTTCCACACTAATACCGGACTTTCTCCCCCCTGGTGACAGAGTAGTGCCACTGAAAACCGCTGCATCCGTTGGGACCTCCAGGTGGCCGTACGAGAGGAGCGGGTTCGAGCGGGAGTCGATGAGTGGACAGAAGTTGTCCGTTCGCCGGTGACCGGCACCTGGCTACCAACCTACCCAGATACTTTACGTCGCTACCGTGACTACGTAGACGATACTAATAAACGCCCGCAGGCGAGGACCGTAAGATCCTCGGCGATATCGAACTCTCTCACATCACTGGTCCACGTGGTGGCCGGCGATGGATGTATCCCGCTCTCCGCCAGCCACGTACGACGTAAGGATGCGCCCGAACTGCGTGCGTGGATTGGTTTGGGGCCTGTTGAGTCGGATGGCGGCACCTGCAAAGGCCCGGGCGTGATTTTCGCGCTTAAGGTCCCACTCCCTCTTGCCGTGCCTCCATTTTAGGGTCGGGTCAAATTTAGCTGGGGACCTTGTTTCTCTCGTCGTCCCTTTGGGGACGACGACTCGACTCTCGGATCTGGTCCTGGAAGGAACTTCGCTTGTAAGCCTGGCCCAGAGGCACTCAATTCCATCTACCACGACAGGCTTTGAGTCGGTCTGGGGAGCACTATCCTCCCCCGCGTTGGTGGTCCAAAAATATAATTGTACGAGCTCTAAATGGAAAAAAATATAGGCGTGCTGTTCCTTTGACTGAAGTCAAAAAATGTGACTTTAATATGATGGGCATCCCATGATGGATACTGGAAAAGACTTATCCAAATGCATTTACATACAACAGTAAGAGTAGATTGTGCAATGGGTGTCTGTTTCATTGGAGTAGCTCTTAGGGCCAAGAGCTCTTTCAGTAGAACTAGGACTCACAGTTTTGAGTTCAAATTATAATTCATTGTTTGAAGTTAAAGAGTACAGTTTCTAGTGGGAAATCAAGAGTATTCAAAGTATGCATAGTGATTTTCCATCAAGTATCAATTCGGTTTTATAATACGTAAATGTGAATTCTAAATAAACAAAGAAACTCAACTTGGATCTCTGAAGAAATTTGTGGCAGATTTGCAAACCAGTCATAATAGTCATGCTTCCCTTGAATGCGATAAAAGGTTTGTTTATGGTGATGGCAGGTGAGGCCTTAAACTGCATTTGAACGAATGTCTACACCCGATGTTGAGGAACAAATATCCATCTTGCAGTAGACAATGATGCGAGGAAGAAACGGTATACATGACGCATATGTATATCATATAGTACCAATCAAGTCTATTCATCATGGGCTTATATGGGCTTATATTCATATACACAACACATGTGTTGGCTTATAGACAAGCCCCGTACACACCTTGAAAAACACTCTAGCCAATACTATACTTAGCAAGCATGTGGACACTCTCAATGGCAATCTGGAAAACAGACCATCGCTCTCCTTTGATCTATAGCGGCAGGATGCTGCTCTTGTGAAGGAAATTGAGGTAGAATGTAGCGTGGAGGTTCTAATGTGGAAAAGACTACGACCTGGTAGATTTATTCCGAACACGGCTAGTAAGTAGTGGTGCACTCATGCATGCAGTCATTGGTTAAGACATGATAAGATTGTGGACTCGGTGGAAAAGGACAGGAAAATGTCACCTGTGGTCCGAAGCTAGACGAAGAAGGATGGGAAGAAAAGGTGAGTATCAAAAGTGGCCGAGTAAGTAGCCAAAAGTATCAGAAGACGGATGAAACCAAATGACAAAATATTTGACACTAGTTTTAACTACTAAATTAAATTGTCAACAAACAACATGATCAACACCCAGTGTGACGGTTGTTATTGTTCCATTAGCCATTCATCATTATAATTCATCATTTGAAAACTGCATGGTATGTAGTATCTATAAACAAGGCATCTGTGTTCACAGTGATAGTCAGTTTTCTCAAATGAAATATACTTGTATCTTAATTTGGTATACTTGTTTGAATTGTAAATATACTATCTAACTTTAGGTTTCTGTAAAGCATACTTATGTTCATGGTGTAAAAATTGTGAAATACCCAGTAATAAATCACGTAATTGTACATTTTTTTTAAAGATTTTCCAATCCTACTTATAGTAAGTCATGTGAAAATGGTATAATCTGTAATTATATTAAATTAATTTAAAAAATAATAAGTCATGTGAACATTGGTTGAATCTAGATTTTTTCCCTTAATCTTTGTATTTATATAATTTAATTCTGATGAAAACAAATTATGTGAAAACCATCTGAAACTAGAGGTATAACAAAGTGACCCTTTATAAATGAAGATATTCTTGGATGTGACGTTGAAAATGATGGAAGTTTATGCAAACGGAAAAGACAGATGGGGAAGATTCGAGAGTGTTCGAGCAAAACAATCCAAATCGCCAGATGCGACAATCTGGGAAACTAATGGAATGTGATGTTATCCAAAAGGTTACTTCCAAAGTCCCATTAGAATTAGTCAAGTGTTGATCCATTTTGGAGGCCAATGAGCCAACCACAGTGGCAACCAAGTTGCCAACGACTCCGGGCAGAGACTCGCTCATCCTTCTCATGATCTCGATTCACGACATCAGTCGCATACCTCGGGTCTCCAGCCAACTGCTCAAGCCGATTCACATCACAAAGACTTCGAAAGCAGTGCTCCATGATCCACACAATAGTGTAAATTTTGGTTGATATCCCCTCCTCCTAGTTTGACTGATTAAATGATTGCATTGATCAAATCCACGCCCGAAGATTGTTTGCGCCTCGATATCAAAGCCAGTTGGCTTCATCATCATCCCATGGGATATGAGCTCACCTAGCAATCGGCAAATCTCGGGTAGCTTCATCTCTGAAGGCGAGGACCAGGTCAAGCTGTTCCCTCTTCCAATCAAGCAAGCGCTCGAGATTTTTCAAGTCAATGTATGACTTGAAAAATGACACACTCCTGTCGATTTCTTCTATGGGAATCCGTCATCATCAGAAGTGTGTTGTCAAACATGAAAGTTCGAACTCAAGTAACGAACCTTCTCCCGACAGGCAGGTGTTCAAAATCCCACCTGAATTATCACTCCTTACCTAGAATAGATCCATCCTCGACTTCTCATGAGCTTTGAAGTGGCAAATTTTGGTCGAGCCATCTGGCACCACGCTACCACATGACCTTAATTCACCTCAGACGGAAGTTTGGACTCTCATTGGACATTTGGCGGTAGCAGCATTATTAAAGAGATTTCTTTTTCATCTTCTTATGTTTTTTCTCGTTAGAAATCGGAGAGACATAATTGTGATGGTAATCGGACATTGCCGCACGAAAAAAGGAGAAAAAAAGAGAAGTGGTAGAAATGGCCGACGGGAGGAGTAGGTGCATAATTCGACATTTAATTCTCGTATTGAAACGAGACGTCTACGGACTGAGGTTCGAGATGCTGTCGCGCTGTCACGCTCATGATGATGGTGGTGGTAAAGACAGTAGCGGCAAGACCTGTCGAAATCATTACGAGGCTCGCCTTTGGACAAACCAGATTCACATACAATCAGAGTTGCAGATATCGACTAAAAGGCGACCGAAAGTACGTCTCCACCTCTACGCTCGAGCAGGATAGGTATGGTAGAGGCAATTATGACGTGCCTGCGTGCGTGCCTCTCCAGGGCGTATTCAATACCGAACTGTGCCCAGCGTAGAGCGGTTTGAAGCAGTAGTAAGCCGGATTCCGACTTTCCACACCGGCAGGAGCCCTGCGTTTTGAAGCTTTGGAGGAGATTTGAGCCATGGCTTTCATGGACAGAGATTGTCGTCCTGACTCCTCGATCCGTCTCCACACTGAGCTTGTGGCTCACTGTCTAATGAAAATCTTCCAGCTGTCGTGCTCTGAGTCAATTCGAGAAGACGGGTCCGAGGCTAAAACACAACGTGGTCATCTGATCCGAAGCCTGTGGCAAGAGTGCGAGTTGGGGGTATAGGATTCAAAAATGGCTCCACATGCTCCAAATCCAGCCCATTGTCTAGGCGTAGGCGATGGATACATTTCACGCAATCATGACCGAGTTCAGTTTAGTTCGGGTGGGTTGGCTTGCTGCAGCACGGGGGAGCTGAGTCTGTGGCGCACATGATCTGTCTTTTCAGTTCCATGCCTTTTCATCTGTGCAGGAGATTCCTCGCCATTCGCATTCTGTGCACTTTGCTTTGCTTACTTGTTTCTCTCACAAGAGATATACGTACAGGAGCAACGATCGATTGACCGAGTACGTACAGGAGCAACGATCGATTGACCGAGTGAGTGAATTCTCTAAGTAGGCCCCTCTCGTTACTCGTACCGACGTACACTCGTCCCATGAATTTCCGATGCCCACTCGAATTCGATGTCAGCGAAGATCCGATTTCATTCCTCCTTTTCTTGTGTTTGAATCCTGATACTGAAAAGAGGAGATTACTACGTTGAAAATTGAGGCCTCAGGTAACGGCCGCCCAGGAAAAATGTCATACATCGCTCCTGCATGTGTGCATTTTCTCCTCTCTGCAATCAATTTTCTTAATTAATTTTCATTTACTTCTCTTGAACAGTATCTTCGGTATTAACCTTGGGTGCCTTGCAGAAGATGAAACCATCATGCCTACTTTTTAGCTCACTGGCATTTTCGCATGGGGATTGAGTCTTCATAAGAATAGCTTCCATGTGATATCCCAATTGAACAATTTTATCGGATTTCGCTCTCTCGCTCGCTCACCCACTCACTGCAATTATCTCGAGGACGAACAAATCACGTCTTTGGTGTAACAGTCCCTAGAGTAGTGTGATTGTCTTCTCGCACAACAAATGGAAACTCTCTTGTGACAGAAGTGTGCATGAATCTCCAAGTTATTTGAGTCTCTGTTCTTGGATCTTTGGATTCACGGGAGGAACACTGTACCGGCCAATATTATCAAAGCGCAGAAAATCATTCGTCCATGATCCAATAAACTATTGATCATGCTACTCCCAAGAAATAGTTCCACTTCCTCGCTGTGCCGTGAGAAAATATAAAGAACAAAAGTTGTTTAGAAGCGATGATTGTCCAGCAGAGATATTTATTCCACCTGCAGGTATCAGGAAATCATCACAATCATCTCCGAAAGATCGAGGCTTTGTGCACTTGTGTGCAAAACATGTCAAAGAGGTACGATCCCCAATGATTATATCTTGTCTCAAACCCCAAAGCCTTCGTCTTAAGATATGCAAAATGTCTAAAGAATAAGGACCATGCTGGCACAGATGAGATGCTCATTTACCCAAATACTAGCCCCGCTAGACGACTCTTGTAAGTGACCCCAAGTGACCAAACCTCTGAATGGAGGACCAAAACTCGTACCTCCCCGGTGCCCAAGAAGTTTGGCAATCATATTCATAGGTGCCTTCCTCGGGTCATGATCAGCTTCCACCGGACATAGGAATGATGGTGCTTCACGAGCGCTGTACCGTATGCTCCGTTGATGGCATCGAGGTTTATATGAATTTCTCAATCAAAACACACACCGCGAGACATAGGAACATGGGAAGGTCCTCAATCGTGGAAGGTAAAACTCAAGGCTAGCCGAGAGTCCGAGATGATAAAGTCTTGTCCTGGATCAGGACTCACTCATTGACTCACCTCAGTTCTATTCATGAGGAGCAACAACAGGAAATTTCCTGCTTCATCGAGCAAACTGAACTAATCAGTGTGTGCAACGTAACACGCTTGCTCGATGGTGCTGTGTTAGCCATCAAGGGACAAGGAACCAGTAAGGTGACTTCGAACCGATCTCGTACTCTGTCCTGAGCCCTGACGGGACGGACAGACGGCTAGCCAGGCAGTAGAGGAGAGGGGACTCATGGGAAGAGATCGGCGATTTAAGTGACCCCGGGTATATCTGACCCCCTCCCCTCGTTGTGGCTTTTCACTCTTGCTTGGAAAAGTCGGTCGGCATCGTCACTTGGGAACCTGAGTGCCATCAGGAGATGGAGATTATACCACTGAACGTAATCCTCGAGTTTCGAGAATAATCCTTTGGTTTCCGGGATTCGTGACTCTCGATGACTACGCTGTCCTTGACTCTCTCTCTCTCTCTCTCTCTCTCTCCCTGGGAGTTGCAGTAACAGCCAATTGTCCAAGCTGATGAACTCCGGTGGCCAAATATGAAAAGGATGGTTCGATGTTGTTCAGGTATACCGAACCAAACAGCGTAGAACGCGCAGCACCACGGTCATGTATTCGTAGGCATCGGGCCCAACAGAAATACCGTGTTCACAAAATTTGCTGAACATTTTAGTGTGCAATATTTCTACGACAATTCATCAACCGTCTGTCGGAGGAACTGTTGATAAATCGGACGAGAACTTTGAGAATGTTAGAATATAAGTGAGCAGCTTTAACTCTCACTGCTTTACCTTGGCGGCTGAGGGATATGCGGGTTGGAGGAAAGTTAAAGGGGCTCTTTAATTAAAAATCGAATCAAGAGCGAATATCGTTGCAAGAATGAATGAATGAATGACTGACTAACTGGAAGAAAGAAAGTTGATTTATTATGGGCGATTGATGGATGGAATCCACTTTGTCCGCATTTATTCGTCGGCGTATGTGTCCAGGATGATTGATCTTTTAGCGTAGCTCCAAATTGCCACAGACGCTCAGGCCCTGAATCCCGGGAAGGATTCCTCCTTGGCGCTATTCGAACTCGTGCCAGTCTCGTGGGTTCTGGGTCCTGGACTCCTGGACTGCTTGTCCTGAACGATTGTGTGTAATGTATTGTCCATAGAACTGCAGAGGGCTGTCGTCCTCCTCCTCCTGCTCCAGCTCTCCTCCTCCTCATCCTGTACTTGTCGTCTCCTCCATCTCTGGCTGTCCATAGACCGCAGGCCGACTCCGTTGTCGTCCCTGCATGAAGCAATGTCATTTACAGCCGGAACTTCTCGATTCCAGCAGAATGAGCCGCTCATCTTTTGGCCTTTCGACACCAATGCACACGAGACTGGTGAATCAGAGGCTCAGAGTGAGCGCCAAGGTAAAGGCAAAGGGGGCGGCAACCGAATGAATGTCCGCCTCCAAAAATCTCCGCGGACCGGCCTAAAAGGCTCAGACTACGTACAGTAGAGAGTAGAGAGGTGCACCCAGGCTCGCACGCAGACCGTTACTTGCTTTTCCCCCCCTCCCCCGCCCCATCCCCACCCTCGCTCGCTCGATCTGCTTTGCTCTGCTCCGATCTAATCTATTCTATTCTATGCTATTGCATCGCATTCAACAGTGCCAGTGGAGCGGCGGGCATTCACCCGTCCCTCATCGTCAGACTTCACGTGTGGAAGCTAAAATTCCCTCTCTTTTCGAGCCCCTGTCGACTCTCCGTACGTTCGCAAAATTCTACACCTGCTCCCTTCCTCTCTTCAACTTCCCCCCTGGCTGCGCTTTGCGCATGCTGATCTTCGAGGCTCAGAGCAGAGCGGAGCAGGGAAGCGGAAAGAAAAGGAAGAGGAAGCTCCTCGCTTGTTCGGGCCACAGACGGACCGGACGGACAGGTGGGAACGTTGGGTGCGTTTCCGAGTGGTGTCCGATAGTCCCCACCTTTCATTCGGCACAGCCTGTGATGCAACGGGGCTTTGCATCATCTTTCCTTCCTCGTTCTGTACTGTCTACGTTCCCCAAACCACCCAAAAAAGTTAGGAAAAAATAGGAAAAAGGCTTCAGGTGCGCTAGCAAACATGCAACATCGATGTCAGCGGGTATGTCTTACTGGGCTCCCTCCAAAGAGCGAGTGTCCAGCTGCGGATCTGACTGTGGACTAGAAGCAGAAGTACAGTCCCTCGGTGTCTTCCGGGACTCATATTGTGTGTGTTGTAAGTGGCTGCTGCCGGCACCCACTAAAGCAAGCGCCTCGTCCAGCCTGCCGACCTTTGTCTCTCTCTCTCTACTCACTTTAGCAACTTCGAAACCTCTCATCTTGACTTTGATACCTTGCCCATCCCATCCCATCTCATCTGAAGCAGGAGTAGGCAAGCTTTAGCGCACTGGTGACCGCGATTCTTTGGAAACCAAGCACATATAGAGAGATATGCATCCGCGAGTTGTAATTGGGAATCGTGACTCGCTCATGGAGGGACGCAAGCTGCAATCAAACTGCTCTGGACTCGGTCCCCAGCTGTGATAGTATCGTTGTAGGATGGACAAGACAAGTCACGTCCAACTGCGCGGAAAGGGTACTTGCAGCGCTTCGTACAAACTGCCAACATGCTGGTTGAGATTTGGGTCGGTACAGTTCGGTACAGCAGCGATGAAGAAAGTCCTCAGTTGCCAGTTGCCAGTTTTCCGTTGCGCCACCGGCGCCACTGGAGGCTTGCCATGGATGTCCTGCCAAAGCTGTAGTAGAAAGAAGCCAGTCATGCGTCGTTCCTCTCCCTCGCCATCTACCATCGACCGACGGACCGACTGAAGGAAGTTCGTCGTTGTATGTTGCCGTTCAACAGGCTGCTTGGAATGTCTCGTCGTTCTTTCGGTCGCGTGGCTATGACTTCACTTACTATTTTTCCCAAATCTTTTCTGGCCTTTCGTTTCGGGGCAAAAGTAGTCAAATAATTTTACCAGTACCTCCTGCGAACAATGACACAAATGGCGTAAGTCTGGCCCCATTGATTATGGATTGTCTAATCTGTATCACTCCCTCCTACATTTGGGCAAGGCCAACTGAAGACCTCATCTAAATGGCAAGAATAAACCTTTTTGCCACAACATAAGAATAAGGTTGTGTCACCACTGTGAAAATTACCCGAAAAGTAACGGGAACCTTCAAAAGTTCAATTGTTGGGCATGTGATCTTCCAGCGCGGCATGAAGATCTTTCCACTTGTTTTGTTGTTCTATCCATCCATTCATTCTACTTTTATGATTCTCGAAGCGATTTGGCATGAAGATCTTTCCACTTGTCTTGTTGTTCTATCCATCCATTCCTTCTACGCTTATGATTCTTGAAGTGGTTTACTACTAAGTCTCGGCAAGGGTAAGTGTTTAACGGGTAATAAAATGTCCTCTACCTTTACTTTACCCCTACCCTTACCACAATCGCCATGCTTTATACATCACTTTACTTTATCCAGCAAATTGATAATTATCACAATAAGAATAAAATAATACAAAATTCAAATTGCCAACACAATTTTCACAATGTTGGAACACTTCAATTCAAGTTGGACTCAAAGAACGTTTCTTTAAACTGATTGTTGAGCATATGCATAACGCCGCCATCGAGGACTTCCTTGTACCAATCTTGTTCTTCAATCTTCAACAAGTTCACAACGTCTTCAATCTAATATGTGGGATGACCTTTGTTAGCATATTCCATTGTTGCATCTACTGCCCGGTTTGCCGACACCTTGATGATCTTTGCATCCACACATGAGCGAAGGCACATGATCATGATGAATACCGGACTGTCGACAGAGCTGGTAAACTTGCGACCAAGAACGTTGTTGACACGCTTAGATGATGTCGACCTCATTGGTGTTCCAAGATAATCTATGGCCATCTGATAATGGGAAGGCAAGATTTTCATGCGGATTGACCACCAAGACAAGATGTTGATAAAAATTTTACACTGGACGATATCGATTGATAGGAATTGGTCTACCTCATCAAGCATGTTATTATCGCACTCAAATTGGACTATAATTTTGAAAAGCATATTGGTCGGCTCTTTGAGCTCAAAAGTTGAATTGTGAGATTACAACTTGGTCGAGCAATGACACTAAAGAGTGGATCAAATGAGATATGTCAACTTCTTTAGTTGCACATGCTCAGATGGTTTTGATATCAATGGGTTAAGGTAGGCTGCAACTATGATGGATTCTAACACCAGCAATTATTCATATTCTTCAAATTTTTTACTCATTCTGATTATTGTAATTTTGGGATCGATCGACAACAATTGCACCTCACTCTTTTGGCAATGCTTCACAAGATGAGCAATGAAAGTGACAGCAGGTCAAAAGTCGATTTGTAATCTACGGCAAGATTTTGGATGACCTAACGCGGCGTGTACAGAATGGTAATCACGTCGTTGATTGCGTGTCATTGGTCATCATTGAGATAGAGTATGACCAATGTCACTTGCGAATTGCTCCATGATACTATCAATGACACCATGATTATCAAAAGCATCGATTTACATCTGATGCGTGGAATTCCAACGTGTTGGCGAATCCTAGTGTGTTAGCTCCTTGTTGTTAAGGTAGGCGGCCGCGACCTTCAAGCAATATTTCTGCTGCATCATCTTGCTGCAACAAATCTTGATGAGCGTATCGCGGAACGCATCCATTGAATTCTTTGTGAAACTCATGACTTTATCAACAACAAGTTGAATTGAATAATTGACGTAACACGTGATTGCAATTAGACATTTGCTCATAGCCAACTGAAGCATTGATCAACTGAAAAAGATGCTTTACTAAACCAACAGCGTTAGAGCCATTGTCGCTAATCACATTCTCTAATCGCGTAAGAGTACCGATGTCCATATACTTCAGGTGTTCAAAAAGGTTAGTTCTAACACCGGCACCGCATGTTACATCCAGAATCATGAGTAAAATACTCTTTGATGACAACGCTGAAATGTCAATGTAATGTGCAATAACCACATGAAAACCCTTGAGATTCCGATTTGACCAGCCGTCCAATGTCAAAGAGAAGTCAACGTTTAATTCGTCTAAAAACAATATCAGCATGGTGTAATCATCTTCAATTTGTTAGAAGTAAAGTAAAGGTTACTCAGAATTGAATAGAATAGATTATAATAGAATATCTACAATATCACGTCAGCAATTTGTGTGTTAGTTAAGTGTGCTAGTTTAACACAACACGTCATCAATCCGTGTGTTTGTTAGGTAAGGATTGCCATTGCTAGTCAGTGTGTTAGTTGAGAGCGACACGTCAACAATTTGTGTGCTCATCAAGTATATCCACCATGTCATCAATCCACCAAGAGTGGATTAGATGGTGGGAATAAGATCTTATCTTCTTGTAATTGTTGTTATTACTTGCTTCATAAAGTAGAGGAGAACCATTGCTGGTATATTTCATCTTCAAAGTTTATGTTCCATCTTCGAATGAACTTATCTCTAATCCCTACTGTTACACATGGATAGCAAAATGCAATAGTGTTCCGAATTTGCCTCAAAATCATTGGGGATGACGATAATTCATATCCATTCGTGAGCGCGATAATCATTGTCTTGAATTGCTCGCCGTCAAAAGCGCGCAAGATCACACCACTACCGATGATGTTGTCTACGACGGCATCTCATACTTACGTAGTGTAGGTTTCAGGATCATGGGTTTGTCGAATGTGAATGCTTTGCTACCTTTGACTTTGTGTGCTGATTTCAAATGATACTTCTAGCCTTACGCATTGATCTTCTAGAAGTACTATTTTTTGCACAACATGCATTTGGATTTCTTCTACTTCTTTGGAAGATCGCTTGATTGCCAATCGTTGACACACATACAAGGATAATCGAGCTTCTTTCACTTACACTTGGAGATACTTGAGGTTATCACTAAGATCAGTTCCGCAAAGTTGTTATTTTCCTCTTCGTTATCATCATCAAATTGGACAATGGTACTAAAAAATTTCGTCGACTACGTCGACGAAGTTCATCTTGATTCTTGATCACTCAGACCGTTGAGTGATGAGTATGCTCACTCTACCAAAACGACGGCCCACGGTTATCCACACTCCGCAAGCAACATTGGACATTGGTCAATGATGCTTTCAGAATATTTGAATGATGATGTTGGCTAGTGGCCAGCATCATGCTGGTAGCATGATAGCGCCAAGTTAATGGATAATTACCTCGGGAAGGGATAGTTAAATCGACGTTACCTTTACTCTATATTCTACCTTACTCATTGATTACCTTTACACATTCATCAGTAACTATTACTTTTTACTCGTCAATAAAAGTTATTTACTTTTATTACCTTGTCGAGGCTTATTTACCACATCCATATATCTTCATTGTTCAAAATGTATGATAATTTTGTGCTATCTGATTTGAGATTCAAATTGCTTGATACAAAATACTGTAATCATTCATGATTCATCTACACGTAGATGAATCATGTTAGATAACATATCCATGTTAGATTTTTTTTCTCTTCTCAATTATTTCAAGGTGTAAAGATAGCTCTATTTCAAGATGTAAAGGTAACTTTATGTGTAAAGGTAATCATAATAATAAATATTTACTTCTATTTATCAAACTAACACATTTTATTTCTTTGCTGTAAAAATAAAATGTAATCAAACTTTGAAAATTAGTGATAAATCTACTAACTGATACCAAAGCACTATAAGGTTAAGTTTGGAAAGCTTGAAGATGTGGGTTCACAAGAGAGTCTGAAATATTGATAAAAAAATGATTTGGATGATGCACAAGATTAGTTGAGGTTACATTCAGTCCGGGGCAGACCTAAGTCTATCCAAGCTTAGTAGGGATGATATGTCGTGGAATTTATTTGAGGCTTGGGACTACAATGTAGTT